GGGAGGTTTATGTAGTTAAAAAAAACGCGTGTTTGTTGTAAAATGCCAATTATTATTATTATTATTATTATCATTACCTTTTTTTTTTTTTTTTTTTTGTAAATACGTTTTACCTTAGTTTTAAAGTCTTTTGCATCCGTAAGGATAATTTCAGTGCAATCATTCTCAAAAAAAATTCTTTTTTTTTTTTTTTTCGTACTTTTTTAAAAAAGAAATTTATTATTATTATTATTATTATTATTATTATTACGTAAAACATTTGGCTTTTAAATGCAACAGTAGACTGATTTGAAAGAACGTCATAATTTATTATTACTATTATTATTATTACGTTTTTTTTGCTGTTGGTTTGCTGTTGTTTGGTGGTAGTATACTTTTCGCATACTTGCCGTGTACAAATAATTACATAAATCATCTCGATCTCGGGATGGGATTGTTTTTATTTATTTATTTTTACTTTTTTATTTACTTTTTATTTTTGCACTGAGGTTTATTATTATTATTATTAAAAAAAAAAAAAAAGAAAAAAAAGAAAAAAAAAAAAGGTGCATGTGCTTATTAAATAACACGAATGTGTAGTAGAGTGCGGTTGAATAATTGCCAGGCTGAGAGTAGTCGTGGCCGTGGTGTAGTGAGAGAATTGTCTCGATCCCTGTCGCAGATGGCAGATCCGAGCAGAGAGGAAGAAAGCGTCACTTTGCTGGGAGAAGAAGGGCTCCGGGCCGGAGGACAGGCACTTAAACTCGGGTTTGTAAAAAATAAATCCCTCTCTCAAATCATTATTATTATTATTATTACTATTATTATTATTATTATTTTTTTTTTTTTTGTTACATTTACATGAGCTTTTCACACAACATCCACCTCTCTCTCTCTCTCTCTCTCTCTCTCTCTCTCATTATTCAGACAGTTTTTCTTATATTAGGAACAATATTTTCCTCGTGTAGATGATGATGATGATGATGATGATGATGATGAATTTCCCAATTCGAATTTTATTTTATTTTTCATTTGTAAAATGGCGGACTCTGCTATTCGAAATGCATTCCCAATCAACACGAATCATTCTCTTATTATTATTATTATTATTATTATTATTATTATTATTAATTATTTAGTATAGGATTTTTTTGTGTGTGTGTGTGCGTGTGTTGCTTAGCCGATTTTAATTTAACAATAAGACACACAATTAATACAATTTTTTTTTTTTGTTTGCTATACTCGCCCATTTAATTTAGGTGGAAGTGTTTAGCGTTTTTTTTTTTTTTTTTTAAATTTTAATTAACAAAATTTGTGTGCGTGCGTGTGCGTGTGTGTGCG